GAAGGAAGGTAAGAATCTCTATCAAAGGTTAGAATACACTGTGGGATGCTGGGATTTGTAGTTTGTTGTGACACCAGAGCTCTCTGACAGAGAATATCTCACAAAGCTACAGTCCCCAGAATGCCATAGCATTGAGCCATGGCAGTTAAAGCAGTGTCAAACTGCATTATTCCTGCTGTGCAGATGCCGCATTGTTGCAGTTTGGGATTTATTCCATGCAAAATTCACCACATGATTCTTTTGCACAGAAAACAAATCTGTGTAGAAATATTATTTCCTGCAGAACAAATGCTGTTTTCTGCGCAGAAAAAAAGCTGCTTTTTGTGCAAAACAACTATGTGCAAATTTTGCGCACAAAAAGTCAAGAAGTATGAAAAATTCGCACATAGTTGATTTGCATAGGAAACAATATTCTGCCCAGGAAACAGCATTTTCTCTATATAGAATGGTATTTGTGTGCAGGAAACATTATTTGCTGCATGGAAAATACTGTTTGTGATGTGGAAAATGCCACTTTTCCTGCAAAACAACCATGTGCAAATTTTGCACACGATAAGTAAAGAATTACAAATAGCCCTCGACAACTGAGTAGTATCCAAAGACTTTCTCACGGCGGGAAGAGAAATGGCTCAAAATACTCATTGCTTTCCTTGGAAATAAACTGAGGCCTCATCTGCACATGAAGTTTGACACCACTTTAACTGCTGTGGCTCCAGCCTAGGGAATTCTGGGATCTGTAGTTTTGGAGGTATTCAGCCTTCTGTGTCAGAGAGCTCTGGTGCTACAACAAACTACAGATCCCGGAATTTCATAGGATGAAGCTGTGGCAGTTAAAGTGGTATCAAACTGCATCATTTCTGCAGTGCAGATGAGGCCTGAGTGAAGAATTGCATCCCATATTGCAGCTATAATTTCTGTGAGATGTTTTTGCATGCACCTCTTTTGTATAATTGTGGGTTGTCATTGCAGCTGCCGCTGCCGCTGCTGTTTTATACTTTCACCA